AAGACCCAGAGAGGGACCCCAAGCATGAGACCAGTTTAAACTAATATAATGATATAACACCCCTGTTTACAGGAGTTTACATTAAAATTTACAGTGTAAAAAGAAAAAAAAAGTCTCCATCTGTATGAAAGTGTCAGTAAATTGAAGACGCTCCTCTGGCTAAATGCTACAGAGGTTAGAGACCAATCACCTGACACCAGAGTTCACTTCTCTCTATGATGAGCAGTAGAAAAGAGGGAGACACAAAGAAAACAAAAAGGCAGGCTAATTATCGTTCTCATTTTAATTTATCATACCATTAATTGATTTATTGTTTATTGTGACAGGCCTATGTTAGACTCTTGTGCAGACGAAAACGAGACGTTTGTTGGCATCCTCTTTGAAAAAGACGGAATTTCCCCCCAGTTTTACGACACGTTAAATGAAAAAAAAGAAAAAAAAACTCGCAAAAGCTTTGAAAATGTTCTCGGGCTTCTGGCTCTTCTGACAGGTTTGCAGTATTGTGTATCGATTGAGGTCAGAGAAAATGCTCCCAGCTGAATATCCTGTGTGTGAGGGATATTTTGTTGAGGGATGCAGCAGTGATGTGGGTGCACCACACACACACACACACCCCACAGTTGTATGAGATTATCCAAATCCAGCGTGAATGGACCTGACACCATTGTCCCGAGCAGCAGCAGCAGCAGCAGCAGCTTCAGCGCGGTGATGTCAGAGGAGAAGCTGATGATACCTCTGAGCGCGACACATTACAGCTGCGATGATGGGGCGGCGGGGCGCTATTATTTCATTTTTTATTGTTACATGTAGCCCGTGCTGACGATGGGAGAGATGAGGGGGGCAGCAACTATTGCGCCGAGGGAAGGGAAGAGAGCGAGGGCCGGATTAAAACAAACCCGCTCTGTGAGCTGGTTTTAGTTGCCATGGTAACGATCATTACCTCGCACTTGGGAGAGCAGGAGCAAGAAGAGAGGAGAGGAGGAAAAGGGGGGTTGATGGAGGAAGAGGAAAAAAGGATGGGACGGGATGAAGACTCGGAGGCAGGAGAGGGGATGCAGTTTGAGGAAAACGTCAGAGTGTGAGCTCTCAACTTTTTAAACTCAACACTCTAACAGGAAATATTCAGAAAATGTCACAGTGTTTGCCTGAAAGAAAAAAAAAAAGAAAAAATGTAGACATCCCAGTTGGTTCCTGTTTGTTGGGGCACTCTCTCCTCACGACACCAGGACTAAAGAGTGGTTCAGCAGAAAATATGTAGGAAGAAAGAAGCCAAAAGCCCCATGTGGTGCTGAGGAAGGAGCTTGTTGTCCTGGCGATCCTACTTCCATGGTGCGTCACATGACCCTCTGCCCAGCACACCTGCCCGGGAGAAATCAGTGGCAGTTTCTATGGCGACAGGGTCAGCAGTACGGGAGGCAGGATGGCTGCCAGAGGTGGTGGTAGGAGGGACCGCTGGTCTCATGGAGTGTCGGTGGTGTTATTTTTAAACATGAAGTGATGGTTGCACACCCAGCAAGGAAAAAATAAAAACAGTGAGTGCAGGATGATGGGCACATCACGCCGTGTGTTCTACTGCCTGCATCACGTGACCTTGTGACATCTGTGTATTAAAGATCTAAGAGGACACACACACACACACACACACACATCATCCCAGCCCCGAGGCCTCGCCGTGAACTGAACTGAGTGCTTGTCTGTGTTTTCAGTGCTCAGATGGGAATTCGGCCCAGGACAACTCGTCCCTGAAGCGCGTGGCTGTGGTTGAAGACTTCTTCGACATCATCTACGCCATGCACGTGGAGATGGGCGCCGATCCAGGCCGAGCGCCCAAACACGCCGGGCAAAAGAAGACCTACAAAGCGGTGAGTAAACACAGTCAGGTGAGGGGCTTCTCGAGTCCACAGCGTAGGGGTTAACACTGAAGACAATTTGTTTTTTTGTTTGTTTGTTTGTTTATTTTTTATTTAAATTATTTTTTTGTTGTTGTTGCTATTTCAACGGCATGGGTATTGGTGAGCATAAAATAACAGGACACTCAGTGGTGGGCAGCACTAATCTAAAAATTAGTTCCACTAACCCTAAAATACTAACTCAAATTTTTACGTCCCCTAATTCTAAAGCACTAACTCAGAAATTTAGGCCCCTAATTCTAAAGCACTAATGCACTGAAAGTTTTAGCAAAAGCTAATTTTAAAGCACTAAAATAACCCAGTCAACCCATGAACATCCTTCAACAGACAACATGAGTCACATGTTGTCATGTTGCTCTCTTAAGACTTATCATTGACATCCCACAGCCCATGCAATTTGGCCTATAAATTTAGCAAGTGCTAATCCACTAATACATTATAAAATTAGCAAAAGCCCTAAAGCACTAATCAGGAAATTAGTTCCCCTATTAGTGTTTTAGTGCTTTAGGCGAACTGTGCCCACCACTGAGGACGCTCAACCCGTCCTGCTCCTGTTAGCTACAGAAGCTACAGAAGCTCTTGAAAATGACTCCAGAGCCAGAGCTTAGAGTTGAGACCTGCTTTCTTGTAGTTTGATTCAAATGAACATGGTCTTTATGCTTTGAAACCTTCAAATATATTTCTGTTTTATAAATGTTTAAATCTAACGGAGTCGAACAAAGAACACAAGCACTTTTATAAGAAGTTTCAGTGCAACTTTTTTGTTTTTACAAGATATTGCAGCCGCCTCAGTCTGGAGTTCTGCTCCTTAATTATGAACCCATTTAACTACGGGTCATAAAGATGAGCAGAGGTCACCAGAGTTCATAAAACCTGGCAGGAGCTCCGCCAGTTAATATACAACCAGGATGCAAAACACGCCAGAGGAAATAACTGTGCTTTATGAAATAATGATAATAATGAATGTATAAATGTAGAAAAATAAAAGGATTTAGGATTAGAGTGCTTTTTTTGTATTTAATCTGTGATGTCCTGAACGAGCACAAGTCTTTGTTTGCAGCTGAACAGATCCAGATGCGGCGTCGGGGTTGTTCGGTGGGACTTTGGTACCCCTCCTCTCCTTCCACTCCACCAGAGGAGGAAAATAAAAATCACAGAGCCAGTTCCTCCTGCCCTGTAGAGAGGTCCTGTCACATCTCATAGCGTGAACACTGTTGAGGACGCAGCATCATTGGGGCAGGGCATAATATGGAACTGTCACTGTGGCCTTCTGGGACGTGCACGCTCCTCTGGGTGGCCTTTCCCTCTCGGCCGCCTCAAGGGGCCACAGGGAGGGAGGGATGTGG